ACGAGGTCTCCAACTTTGCCAGGAACGTGAGTCCCGCTCCTTGGCAGGCCTGGCTGGGTGCTCTGCCTGGGAGGGGTGGCCAAGCTGGGGGCTTTTGTGACTGCTGGGAGGGTGTGAGCTCCTTCTGGGCTGCGGTCCAAAGAGACCCCATCACTTTCTGTGGCTTACCCTGTACCATCTTCTCCTGCAGGGCGCACTCAGCACCCACAACCTGTCCTATTGGCAGGGCAGCCAGTACATTGGGATTGGGCCAGGTGAGTTCACCTGCTAGGAAGTTAGGAGGCCTGGGGTATTACCAAGGTGGGGATGCACAGGGCTGGGAGGCAGCCTAGCTAATGGGATCCCCATTTGCCTCTGCCAGGAGCTGCTGTGAGGGAGTCTGTCCCTGCTTCTTTCCCCCAGCTGAGTTCGCTCCCAGCATTGACTGTCTGGGTGCCATGGGTGGTGATCTACTCTGCCAGGGCTTCATATCCCACTCCCTCTCAGCCCTGTGGATCTGACACACGAGACAGGAGCGTGGCAAGGAGGAGCATGAGTGTGACGAGCTCTGGGAGGGAGGGAGCTATGCTGCAGGAAGGCCTGTCTCTGTGCCAGGAGCCCACGGGAGGTTTGTGCCCCGAGGAAGCGGTGCGAGCCTTCGGGAGGCCCGGATACAGACCCTGGAGCCGGACAACTGGATGAAGGAGGTGCTGGCCTGGGGACACGGGACCAGGAAGCGGGTTGCGCAGAACCCACTGGATGTGTGAGTATGGGCAGGATAAAGTGGCCCCTTGCCAGGGTGGCATCTGACTCCTCTATGGGGGGACGTTCCAGAGCAAGAGACCATGGCTGAGCTACAACTGCAGGGCTTGATGCTAAGATGCTCCTGCCAGCTCTGGCTCATGAAGCTTCCCCTGTTGTGCTCTGGTACTTCTAGGCCTTGCTGCACCTTCAGCCTCGCGTGCAGGAGCCCTCTCTGTAGCTCTAGAGGCTGCATAGTCACCCAGCATCTCCCTCTCTTGTAGGCTGGAGGAGATCTTGGCTCTGGGGCTCCGCACGGATGTTGGGATCACGCACCAGGTGAGAGACAGGTCTCCGCTGCAGCAGCCTGTTCAGAGGCTGGGGCAGGGGAGCAAGGTTTGCGAGTGTGGATCTCATGGCAGGGGAGTGGCTTCCCAGTAGTTAATCGCTGCACAAAGAAGGATTCTGCATGGAGCAGCCAGTTTTACTGGGGCTCTTGATAGACATTTGTTTGCTGGTCGGGATTCCTGAGCCATCCCTTCCTCTAAGCATTGTCATGAGGTATCCTAAGATCTTGAGAGGGAGTCTTTGTTTACTAGCTTCCTGAAATAAGAGTGTACTCAGTAATACAACCCTGCTGCCTGGCACAGCAGGGTCTGCCTGGGCAATACACCAGTCCTGGTATATAGGGACCTTGTCTGGTGCCATCCAGCCTTGGTGCCACCTTGACTTTAGGGGCTGGGAGGGGAGTAGGGAAGTTCAGACTCCACTGTCTGTTCAGTTCTGGTCCATTGGGGTAGGTGTATTACTCAGTGGACCATGCAGACACTTCCCAGGATTGCAGGCTGTGGAAGCCTAAGGGGCTTTTATCCAGCCTCCTCTCTTTAATGGGCATAGCTCAGCCCCATAGACAGTGTGCTGCTCTTCTGGAGCCAGCTGCTGGAGGTGCAAACAGGTCAGCTACTGAATGAGTAGCTGCGTATGTAGCTGGTTGCTCTCCCTGCATCCTGAGCTTGCCTGCCAGTCCCCTACCTAGAATCCTGGCAGCCCTGAGTGAACTTTTTAGTATTGGCCCCGCTTCACCAGAGATGATTTCTCTCTGGGCCCCTGGGAAGCCACCTGGTTTGCCCATGCCTCCGTTCGGCTCTGCTGCCTGCTGCACCCATCTCCAGGCTGTGCCTGACTCTGCAGAAGGGGAACCAACTCAGGGAGGACCCAGGCCTTGAGGGAGGCTTTCTTCCTACCCTCCGATGAAACTAACCCCAGTTAGTGGACTTCTCTTTGTTCTGCCCCCCAGCACTGGCTGCAGTTTGCTCCCAGCCTGAGCCTGTGGGATGCATTTGGAGCCTCAGAGGAAGTAAAGGAGCTGGAGGACCAGGGCTTCCTGCTTTTGGACCACAGGTGAGGCGCAGCCTGGAGAGCATGGGAGTGCACAGAGGGGCTTTGTTTGCTGGTGGGTGAGACTGATCCATGTCCTGCTTTCTCCTCAGGGGGCTAAGATGCTCTTGGAGGGGTTTGGCTGTGCTGGATTCTCTGCTACCAACTCTTCTCAACCAGCTCCAGCAGACCTGGGCAGACAGGGTATCTCCAACCTGATAGCTCCCTGCCAGGAGGCAGGGGTTTGTCTTGGCACATGCAGACAACCCCAGGCGGACAGAATACATGAGGGGGAACTGGAACATGGATAGATCTTGCCTCCAATCTGAAAAGCATTTTAGAGGGAGCACTTAATCCCTAAGCATCTGGAGATCTGTTACCATGCTGGATCCCAGGGTAAGGGCCCCTCTGGGAGATGTTGCACCTATGCAGAGCAGAAAAGACACCAGTTCTTTGCTTTCCAAGCACCATGTGTGCTAAGTGCTATGGAGAAAAAAACGGGTGAAGTACATTTTAGCTTTAGAACGAATGCAAAGAAAAATCAAGCATTGGCTTCTGCAATTACAAAAACATGAAGGGAGGTCCTGCACTATGCAGGCAGCCTGCAGTCCGCTCACTCCAGCAGAGAGCAGTAATGGACAGCACAAATCCTGCCCTAGCAAAACTCCTTAGAGGGACTTTGCACCCACAGCTCCCCAGAAAGGGAATCACCCCCTGAAAGAGGATATCTCGCTCCCTGCCTGGGGTTAGCTCTGTGGCTGCTGTGTTTCTTTGTTTGGATCAGACTTTCCCTTTGCTCTGTTATACTGGAGTGAGCGAAGGGTTTGCTGGCAAGACTTTCAGTATGCTTGGCCTTGGGACTCCAGTGTTGATGCCTCCAGCCCAGTTCAGAAGCAGGGCTTGCTGTCTATAACTCATCTCCTTTTATTGTTTTTGCTGCCCTGAGTGCTAGAGCCGCAGGCAGGTGGTGGGAATTGCAGAGACCCATCTCCCACTACCCCGGAGAGGTGGGAAGAGGCAGATCCTACCTCTGAGGACTGCACACTGTGAAGCCCCCATTCTTTACCATGCAGACTGCATATGGGTATTGGTCACCTTCCCAGGGGATTCACTGCTGCACTGACAGCATCAGGGTGGGGGGCTCTGTCAGCTTTTACTGGCAGAATGCTTGCCATCCACTTCTATAATCCACAGAATATATCCGTAGAGCTTGGCAGGGTACCCCAGTCTGCCAACATGCCATGCCTGGGTGAAGGGGCAGATAGGCCCAACATTGGCCAAGTCCAGCAGACCAGCTCAGTGCAATATTTACTGGATCACATAGCTTCTCCCTGACTTCTGTGAGATCACTTCCCTTCCCTTTGAAACCAAAGTGACAGCTGATACTACTATGCAGGAGCTGGGCTGCCCTTCCATGCTTTGTGAAGGAACAACTATTGGGAGCTTCTTCAGGTGTGCATCCGACATGTAGTGACTTGCTCATGCAGCCCCTTGTTATGTGCAGCTGTAACCAGTCATTTGGATTGTGAAATTTAATGAGTCCAAAGTTATCTCGACATTTTAACCAGCTAGTTGTTCTTGATATTAATCTGGCTGTGGTAGCGATGGAGCGGTGGGGTAGCTATGATAGTCTATGGAATTATGCTGGAGGCAAGGATATTTTGGGGTGTACTATCTTTTATTGGACTAATTGCATGCTTCAGAGAGAGTTTTTAGGCAAGCTTCTTAAACACAAAAGGGTACTTCTGTGGGTCTGAGAGCTTGGGCTGCGTTTGCTTCTGAAACAGTAATTACAGTTTAGCTCCAAAATCAATATTTGGAGTCCAGTGTAGATAACAGCTTTCAAGCCCTGGTGACAGTTGTTCAATAGGACAATAATCACTTAAAATCTTCACCTGAATTGTTTTGCTGAACAGTTTTTTTGTTTGTTTGTTTGTTTGGGTCTTTGTTTTGTTTTTTGTTATGAGCTCCCTGAATGTGAAGAGGGCAGCAGAAAGCACGGGACAGTATAGTGCAGAGCAGGTTCTGGATGTTGCAGAGAGTCTTTAACCATGAGGGCTCTGCATGATTTCGTAGTGGGAGGGGAACAGTGGTGAGTGAAAGCATCAGCCATTCAGCAGTGAGAAGTAGCTGATGCCTGGCCTAGGGTCTTAACATCTGCTTTGGATGGAGAGATTTGGGAAGCTGGGGTTCTCACATTAGCTCCATCACTGTGTCATAGCAGAGACGGACAGAAGGAGCAGTAGTTGTAGCGTCCCATGAAAAGTTCCTACAGCTTACATGTACCTCCCCTTCATGCTGCAGGGTAGGATGGCATCAACCTTGGGGAGGAGAAGATGAGTTACTGACAGCAGGGGTGGGGAGGTTGGACCATGCGACCCAAAGACGAGAGTCCTGCAGTGCAACAGCAAGAGGTTGCCTGGTGTACTGAGTGATGTCAACATGAGATTGGCCTACAAATCGCGTTGCACAAGCTGCAGTTAGAATTTTAATTAGTAATATTAGAGAGACTCCAGGACTTCAACATGGATCAGACACCTTCATTGTTATGGCCAATGAGTAATGATCTCTGCTTGCAAGTGCATTCATGTGAGCTGAGGTCCTCTCCTATGTCACTGTATGACTAAACCGTGGGCCAGGACAGTTGTAAATATTTTGCATTGCTAAATACAGATCTGCATTTCAGTAACCAATGCACTTCTTTTTTTCCAGCTTCAGCTGCAATGCCAGGGCTACTGTTCCCTACTTGGAGTAACTAAAAGTCTATTTCTGACCGATCAAACCAAAACAAAGCCCCAAACATTTCTTAATTTTTTATTACGCTGATGCCTGGCACCTGCACCTCCCAGTTTAGGGCCCATAGTGCTAGGGGCTGTATGTACACACAGCCAGCGGTGATCTGTGCCTTGAGAAGCTTTTACAGCATTAGGAGACATGATAGAACAAGGGTGGGCAAAAGGAAATGTACAATCAGTGGTCAACAGCTGCTTGTTACTCGTTGGCGTAGAGTTAGGCAAAATCAAACTTTCCTCATAAGCAGACATCATGGCTTGTTGGTCTTGCCTCTTGGCCTTTGACTCATTCAGGCCCAACACCAAAAGGTGGCTTTATCTTGCTGAGTTCTAAAGGGGCCAAGAAGGTCTGGTGGGATCTCTAGGGCTATAGGAGAATAAACCAAGACATTAGCAAAATCAGGTATGTTCCCTTCATCTTCATTATGACTGGGGACAGCAAGAACAAAATTTTCCAAATACAGCTCCATTCGACTGCATGAGGAAAGGAGAGTGATTCTTAACCAAGGTGTCTTGAGATCCTTTGAAGGGTATGGTAAACTTGGAGGAGATAAGAGAGGTGTGAGGAAATGAACAGATAAGCGCAGGTCCAGGCTTTTCCTGCCTGGATGCTTTTGCACCACCATAGTTTGGCCCTTTCCAAAGAGGTAGATGCTGCAGTAACTGAGTGAGGCTTTTAAAACTGGGTACTGCTTAATTCACAATAGTTATGGAGGGGCCTTAAGTCAGGAGGAGTACCTTGAGTCTGAAAAGGTTGAGAACCAGCGCACTATGCCAATGGCCAAATTGTGCCTTTGGTGATGCTTACATCACCCCACTGGCTTTGGTCACCAGTCACAGTAGACCACAGGCCAAAATTAGTGGGGAAAAGCTGGAGAAGAGGGAAGACCTTTCTTCTGGAGCCTTCAAGGAGAAACAAGTACAAAGGAAGTCTACAGTTAATGCAGGCTACTTAAACATTTGAGTTGCGTCCCTTTGAACCAATCATGGTGTTCGGCTCACTGGATGACTAATGTCTGCTGTAAAAGCATCATAGTTACTTTCAGTAAGATGACATTCACATCTACCCTATATCTGGCTACCCTATTAATACCTGACTGGTCTGAATTCCCATCCAGGGCCTGGGCTAGAGTCCATCCAAATCAGCAGAAGGGCTCACATGGATGGCAATGAGCTATAACGAAGGTTTGAAGAGGACAAGAGAGTCCTCCGGAGGAGATGCTCAGAGACTGAAATACCCCAGGAGTGTGGGTCTTTCCTTTCACTTAACCCCAATGTCAACCAGGCATAACTCCAAATCAATAGCATATGGAAAGCAGCTTTAGGGCTATTACTTTATTGGCTATCAAGCAGGTATGTTCCAGTTCATTGCAGTTATTGCACAAGGCAGAGTTGCCTGTTGGGTAGAGAAAACCTCAAGCTGAGAGGTCCTTTTGTACACACAAGCTCACTGTACTTCATTCTCCCCATATCTGTATCTACATCATTTGCAGGTAATAATACTCAGGCAGTTCAGAGAGGCCCAGGAAAAAAAGCACGTAGGATGAGCACAGTCTTGCAAAGACGGGGGAAATAAGACAGCTGAATGGCATGCAGTGAAGCTCAATTTTCCCTCATTGCCAGATACTGATTGTATCAAGAATTACTGGCTAATAACTAGTAATTTCACGTGAGTTAAAACAACAACACCAGCCCATCCCCAGTAATTAGGAAGGGCCCCCATTTCTACTTCCTGAAAGACTGGCATGTTTACCTGCCATCTAGGTGAAACGCATGATTAAATTTCCCCAGGGCTGAGGAAACCGTGACTCACGTTCTCCTCCTTGGTCCCAGCTGGAGGCAGGGATATTTTCATCAACCTTGATAAGAAGAGTCCCCTGTGCCCTCTGGTAGTGGCTTTGTGCTGTTCTGGGAATAGCTGAGGGTCATTCAGAAAGGGTCCCGTGCATGTAATAGGGCTGTGCTGGGAAGAGGAGAGCTCATGTCAGGGTGAGGTTTCCTAAATCAGTGTCTAGTGGGCTAAGCCACCCGCTTCCAGCCCTGCATACACCCATGTGCCTTGGTGTGTCAGGTTGCTAGCCTGAGCCAGTGAGACATTTTTTAGGTGAATATCTGGGAATTCCTCTCAGTTCTGCCACTAAAAATCTCCCCTTTCCCTTTTTAGCAGAATCCAGGAAAACCCTGGATCTGCACTTTTGGGTGTTTTAGGAGGGGGTGCGAATGTCCTCGGCGAGTTGTAGAGAAGTAGCCTCCGTGGTCTGTGTCCGTGGCAATGGGAAGCTTTATGCACAGGGAGATGCAAGATTGAAAAGGCCTTCTCTTCACTGAGGTGCATTGAGACAATGGCAGTAAGAAAGTTGGGGGTCTCCTGAAGGCAGTCTTGGTGTCATTTGGGGCTTCTGAGTGATGAAGGGATCAGAACTGGAAGAAAAATGAATGTCAGTGCCAGTCTCTCATCATATTTATCAGTGCTGGCTGGGGCAGATGAGAGGAACCCCCCCAGTGTCTGACAAATGCACATTGGGAGCACAATCACCCTGGCCTGCACCACTGAGCTAAAACCAGAAGTGGATGCCATCTGCTTCATTCAAAATAGCCGTGGCCTTTGGGCTTCAAGCAAGCTGCCAAAGCAGCTCTTCTCCAGGCTGATGGGTGCCTAGCACGAAACGCAGATGTCTGTGGTGTGAGCCGCAAGCTTCTTGCTAGGACTTGCCTTGGCCTCGA